ACCCTCAGAAGGTGTATGTGCTGGGTCTGGTGAAATAAATGGAGAAAATACCAAAAGATCACACCTGAGATCGAACCCAGAACATTAGTTTCTGATTTCCTTCCTCTGACCAACTGCGCTGGATGTTAACTTGTTAATATAATAAAAACAAATAATATATTGGAAAACAAGTTAGTGGCCAGAATAACGCACCAGAATTTATACCAGCCAGTCAGGTTGTGACACGTTGTTTTCTTCTTCCCTGGAACCGTCGTTTTAGGCTCTGAACCTTTACCTACAGACGCAAGTATGTTGCTGAAACCTGTGTCATTCAAAAATCAAGCACACGCAATATAAATTCAATTTGGGACCATGAATCAACTGGGTTTGAAGCTCTGATCATCATGGTACCCATTATCAAGCCTAATTTTGCTTGAAACCCAAAACCCCAAATTGGAGCACGAAACCCTAACAATGGCAAAAGCTTGTTCATGCACTGTAACTTAAAACAAACTATCCAAAAACGTTGCAAACATGATGATAATCACAAATATGTAACTTAAACATGCTAAAGATGCAAGAATTACAGTAATCGAATTTGGATAATTTTGTAAACTGTGAGAATGATAGGAAGTGATTCTGGACGTGTAGGGGACCTGGGAGTGATTGGAATAGCTTCCTGGCATGTCCTGGAATAGATTGTTGGCCTTGAATTTCTCTCAAAGGTCCTCTATCCTGAAATCAGAACCTCACTTTTTGTCAACATTTTTTAGTTTTGTTCTAACCGTTTCACGCCTCTAACCCTTCTTTTTTGATTTGTTTCTTGTTCATTATATATCCCTCAATGAATTAGGGTTGCAAAACATATTGAATCTTGAAGTTTTGATGAGATTTGATTTGATTTTCAATTTGTATGACATCCTTCCAAATTTGGCCTAATCATGCCAATCTCGTTTCAATCAGCCTTGATATGATCCGATTCTGATATGCCAGCATAATGAGCTTATGATTTTGTCCAAAAATCCAATCAAAATAAATCTTTGCTATTATTTATCAATTATTTGATTTAATTCAATTTTTAATAAATAAAAAATCAAAATAAAATAAATAATGAAGCAAATAACATGTGAGTGAGCATTTGGGTTGTGGACCATGTTATAAGTGAGTTGAAAGCATAAAAAGTTAGGCCCATTTAGCAAAAAATGTAAATTTGAGCACATTTGACTTTTGGCAATTTTGCAAAAATGGTCAACTTGGCCAATGCATAACTCTCTCAATTTTGACCCTAGAGAGGTGTTCTTGGACTTTTTAGAAAGCTTAGGGTGTCCTATAAACAACACTTTTAGTCTCATCTCAATTGAGTCTTCCATGTTCATGTATGAAGCTTTGATCCAAAAGGTGTTTTTGTTGACTTTTCAAAAGGACCTATAATGTCAAAATTCATATATTTTTGTGAGTGACAAATTTGGACTTGGGATATGAATATGAATTGTAGGTAATTTCATCCTATTCAAAATGAACTTTGGATGGGTCATTTCTGATAAAGTATGAGAAAGTTATGCTTGGTCAAAGTTGAGTTGACTTTTCCTACAAAACCCTAATTTAGCAACTTTTGGGTTTTGATGAATTGTGAGTAATCCTTGAGGAATAATGATCAACCATTTATCAAATTATGAATAATACTTAAAAATGAGGATGTTTACCAAAAATCTTGAAGTTTGACTGTATGTGGGCCACAGTTAACTTTTGACCTAGCATAGTTGATTTTCAGGCATTTGAGCAATTGACTGAGCAAACTTCTTCTGCAAGGATTGAAACTTGACATGTATGATCTTGAGAACATATTAGGATAATGGTGAGAATTTTAGTCCTTGGTGGTTCACACATCTTGATGAAGATGGAAACCCCGATTTGAGGTATATTGCCTTAGGAGAGAGTTTGTCTGGTCAATTCTTGAACTTCCTTGAGCAATTTGGGGACCTCACTTGACATTTGTTGAGAAATATGGGAGGGAAAATTTTGGGGTACAACACTCATTTTCATAGATGATGAGGTATGTTGAAAACCATTATGAATCTTTTAGTATTCAAGTTTCAATTCTGAACCATTACGTACATTTTTATTACATGTTAATTTCAGACTCCTACAAAACCTGCATCTAAGGATAAAGAGATTTTGCGGCACAACGAGTCTATTGCATCATAAAAAGAGGTATATTTAAAGTGTTAATTATATGATCCGAATTCAAAAACTGCATGATTTTATAATTTACCTAAGTTATATGATTTTTAGGTACCTGCTCAATGGTCACAACAAGTGAGCCAGAAATTTAGTAGTGTACCCAACAAGAAAAATGATCTTCCAAGATCCGGGGCAAGAAAACCTTTTGTACCTCGATTTCGGATGTGTCTTGAAACACTTGTGGGAACATCAGATTTGATGAATGGTGCTATTAGTCAAATGGATATGGAGGAAGGTATATTTGGTTTTTCTTACTTCGAAACAATTGCAAAAGAGGAAATGGAACAAATTTTTCAGCATACAGAATTAGGCATCAGTGTTGTACACTCATACAACCGGTAATGCGATCAATCTATTATTTAATTAGTCGAAAAATTTATTTACACATTTCAATGAAAATAGTCTAATGTTTATTATGTTTTTATTTAAGGTTCTTGTATGAAACATTGATGCGCGGGAATCAATTGTCAAACAGATTCTATTTCGTGTCTGCCCCCCGTGTCAACGGAGCGTCAATTATTCAAGATCCAGATTCGGTAAGAAATCACTTAGTTGGGAGATTCATGGCCAGCAGTACAAAAGCTTGTATCTTTTACCGTATAATACGATTTCTGTGGGGTTAGTACTTCATTCTAAGTTCATTCTAATCTTTGTATCTTTTGTGTTGAAGATTTTCATCTAAACTTTTGTTTTAATTTATAGACATCACTGGTTGTTGGTTGCTATTGATCCTTTCAAAGAAGTGGTGTATTATCTGAATTCGGTAGATGGTGAATGGACAAATTATCCAGATATGAAGTTAATGATTGATACGTAAGTGAGATTGTTCTAAATATTCGTGTGTATTTGTATATTTAATTATTTCTGTGAGATTGTTCTAAATATATGTTTTTATTTTGTTAGATCAATACAAGTATTCCGCTCTCAAAGAGAAGCTCGAGTATCACGGTCTAGATCAAGCAACATTACATGGATCAAAGTGGAGGTACAATAATTTTCACAATTTTGCTTATAATAGTGATGCTACTTGATAAAACAAGACAATTATACATTGTTATTTGTTTTTCTATGTAGTGTACTCAACAACGTAACAGTATAGATTGCAGATACTTTGTTTTGAGGTTTATGAAAGAAATCCTTCTTTTGAATCGAATAGAGACCAATCACGGTATGGATTTATAACTTAGGATTTATTTTAATATTTATCAGATATTTCATATAATTTATTACTTTTAACTAAATTATGCATATTATGTTATGTTATGTAGTACTTTGATGAATGTAAGTGTGCTCATTACACGAAAAATCAATTGGAAGAAATCAAGGAGGAATTGTGTGAATACTTTTTTCAGAAAAGAATCATATAAGGTATTAGAAGTTGAAAAGTGTTATGAAATTTTTTAATTGTGTTGGACCTAAGTTAGTTTAATTGACTGTGTTGTTCTGTTCATATATAAGCGAATTCGAATAGAAGGTTTTGTTGTACTTGAGTATTGAATTATAATGGTGTTTATATTTTGGTATATAATGGTATATAATGGTATATAATGCCTTTTGTATGTAATGGTGTTTATATTTTGTATGTAACGGCTTCTTTGTTGAAATAAAGGGTCGTTGAAATGTAAGACTTGAAGTACAGGTTTATGGGATTATTCCCAAAAATATGCCTTCTAAAAAAGAAAGAATACGCATTGTTTTTACATAAAAAATGCTTAAATTTACGTGAAGTAACGAAAGCGTTTTTTAGGAAAAAACGCTGCTAAACGCCTACTTTAGAAAGCGCTTTTCCTAGAAAAGTGCTGCCTAAAGATGGCTTAAAAAATACATTAGACAGCGCTTTTGAAAGCGCTGTCTAAAGGGGGTCAATAGAAAGCGTTTTTTCAGGAAAAAGCGCTGCTAGAAGCCTACTTTAGAAAGTGTTTTTCAAGTATAAGCGCTGCTAAAGAATACATATGGCAGCGCTTTTGCATAAAAACAAAATCGCTGTCTATACCAACGGTAGCCCCACCATAGGCAGCGCTTTTAAGCGCTGCTAAAGGGTAAAAAAAGCGTTTTCTTAGATTTTTTTGGCTTAGTGAATGCACTGACGGTGTAAAAAAGTTTTACATTATCATCCAATAAACGACGTGCATCCCGCCACATCATACTGATAATTTAAAATAATTTTAATAATTTGATGAATTAATGATTTTCTATTAGACGATCGTGTAAAATATTTATTTAAATTTGTTTTGTCTTAATATAGTTGTCTCGGTATAATATTTTCTTATGCTACTATTTTTTTATTTATTTCACCCCTCTTAACTATTTTATTAATAATAAATAAAAATATTAGAAAATAACATAAACTTTATGATTGACGTAAAAATAGCATGCAATGCAAATAATTTTGTTCAATAAGGCGTAAAAAATGTTAATAAGAGATAGACAAATTCAAGAATTTTGATCAGTAGAGATTAGATTATAAACTATAATATAAAATAAGTCAATATACATAATAAGATAATCACATTGCTATCTTAAAATTTCAAGTAGGCAAGGGTTGAGAGTTTCATATCTTTGAGCTAGCTATGGTTACTGATGAAACACGCATATATAATAAGTTTATACAAAAGTATTAATTCAATAACTATTAATTATAAAGAACAAGGATAAAACCTCTCATGACTCTTTTTTTAATTGGGTTGGTTTATTATGCTTGATTATATTAAATAATAAATAGCCTCATTAATATAGTTTTATTAGGTTTCACTAAGTCTGTGATTTTTTTTCCTTACTATTTAAGGATTTGCCGTTTCCTTTATTTTGTATATAAAGACTGCCACAACTACTTTATAATTCAAGCTTTTCATATCAACGAGTTTAGAACTATTTCTCTTACTGGATGTACGTATAAAATTCTGGCAAAGCTGCTTACAAATAGATTGAAGAAGGTGGTCTACAAAGTGATCTGAAGTACAATATACTTTTCTTGAGGGAGGACAAATGTTGGACTGCATCTTTATAGCAAATGAGTTGGTTGATGATGTTAAGCGCAGGAAGAAATAATCTTCAAGGTAGATTTTGAGAAAGTATTTGATTCGGTCGATTGGAAATTCCTTGACCATATGATGATGAAGATGGGCTTCAATGAAAAATGGAGATGTTGGATCTCAGAGTGCCCGCGATCAGTAAAAATTGGTGTCTGGATTAAGGCGAGAAAAGTTGGAAGAACATCTGGGCGATTAAGGCGAACTTGCAATTATTTGAATTGGTGTCTGGATTGAAAGTGAACTTCCACAAGATTTCATTAATAGATGTTAATATAAACTAATCTTGGTTGAAAGAAGCAACAAAAGCCTTAAATTGAAAGGTGGGAGGAGTGAGCTTTAAATACTTGGGGCTGCCAGTGGGAAGCAACCACAGGAGGGAAGACGCATGGGAATCAGTGGGGGAAACAGTAAGAAAGAGAATATCTTCATGGAACAATAGTCATATCTCTATTGGTGGTCGTATTATCCTCCTAAAAGATGTCTTGCATGCCTGAGTGGTTTAATATCTTTCCTTCTTCAAAGCTCCAACAGGTATTGTCTCTAAACTAAATTCTATTCTTAAAAAGTTTATGTGGGGTGGAGGGATAGAAAGTAGGAAAGTAAATTGGGTTAAGTGGAAAAAAGCGTGTCGAGCATAAGATCAAGGGGGTTTGGGGATTAAAGATCTAAAGGCCTTCAGTTGGGCCTTGTTAGGAAAGTGGAAGTGGAGACTTTTAATCGAAAATGATAGGTTATGGGCTAGAGTTCTGAATTATAAACACAAAAGGGACCGGTGGTGGCAGTGGATATATGGATGATAGATATAAATCTTTATGGTGGAGAGATATTCAGTCCTTGAGCGTAGGAGTCGGCAATTCAGATTCGAGGACAACTTATGCAGAGAAATTAGGGACGGAGCATAATTGCTCTTTTGGGATGATATTTGGGTGGGGGGAAGATTGAAAAATGTATATACTTGGAACTGTATATTCTAGCAGAAGAAAATGATGCAACTGTTAGGAATTCTATTTGTATGGTGGATGGGAGTAGTGGGTGGAATAGTAGATGGTGAGGAGCGTTAGATGAGGAAAACAAGGATCCAGGGAGGGAAATTATAGAAAAGGTGCATGGTGTGAGACCGAGGGACGATGTGAAGGACGTATGGAAATGGTTCAAAAATGAGTACTCGGTCAAAGAAGCTTAATCGGTGATCATGGATGGCCTGGCTGTAGAGAATAATTTGGACAAGGTTTTCACGGAGGCTTGGTGTAAGTTGGTGCCGCTAAAAGTGTATGTGTTTGTTTGTAGCTTGTTGCAGAACAAAGTCCCGACTAGAGATATTTGATCAAAAGATGGATTTTGGTCGAATCTCAAAGTTCCTTCTTGTTCGGCTACTGTTGGAATAAGAGTGTGGAGCACTTGTTCTTCGAATGTCCGACTGCATTTGCGGCTTGGAGCGAGATTCTTAGTTGGCTAGATTGTCCTAGTGTTCTACATGACTTTGCACTAGTAAACTTCTCTCATTTCAAAGGGTTGGTCGGTGGGGGTAAATCCATTAGAGAGAGGTGTTCGGTAATCTGGTTTACGTGCATTTGGCTCTTATGGATGAGGTGGAACGAGAAAGTATTTTCCCAAGTCTAGAGAGTGGAAACTCCTTTTATTGATGATATGCAGTTGATTACTTGGAGGTGGTTTAAGAGTAGAATTGTCGGGTTTAACTATTTAGTTGATCAATGGATAACTTTTCCAAGGGAATGTCTAGGATGTTAATGGCGGTTGGGAGTCCAGGATACGCGAAGGATTATCGTCTCTGTATTTTAAAGTTGGGAATATCGATGGTCTGACTGTGTCATTTCCTTGTTGGTGCAGGTCTTTTGTTTTTTTATGGGCCCTGAGACTTTCTTCTTGCTGCTTTTCTTTCTCGCCCAAACCGGTTCCTCAATCTCTGGCCAAGACAAGTTGTCAAACGTCTTGCTGGTTTTTTCTGCTTTGCAGTGCTGTTGGCGGATTCTCTTTGGTTTGTTCGGCGCTTTACTCTCATTTTCCTGCACTGCTCGGTGTCCTCTGTGTCGTGTCATCTTAATTGCTTAGCTTTCAGTTTTGGCGGGAGGCTGATTGTTTCTCTGTCGATATTTTAGTGTGCTTTTGTCTCAGTTGTGGCTTCTGTTTTGGAACTTAGAGCTTGAGGGTTGTTTGAATATTGTATTATTTGGGGTTTTATTTTTCTGCTTTAATCTTTCTAATGGAGGCCTTTGTACTGGTGTCTCTGTTTGTTAGGTGTTGTACTGGTGTAATTGGGTGTTTTATGCATGCCTTATGCCTTTCTGTTTTTCTTTTTAATGCAATCTATTTTTGGCCTTTCAAAAAAATAATGCTTTATTATTTTCTTCAAGAAAGTTAATATGGTATTTCTTTTTTTCCCCTAAGTGCCATCTCCTCTTTTGCAAAATGCATATTAGTATTTGTGTGATAAATGATACTTCTCATGACGTGCTTTGTCACATATTCTGAGAGAACCTTCATGAAGACACGAAATGCATTGTCACATATTTTAACATCATCAAAAAGAGGGAGTATGTGAGTCCACTTGCCCATTAGACGTTTTGCATGATGTCAAAACTAGGAAAACTTTAGCATTTTTGTATATTGGACGACATCTTTGTGTCTTGATGTACACCTTTTCATTAGGGTACTTAGGATGCATTTAGAACATGTTTGGAAAATGTCTCATGCATTAAAAATTAGTTTTTGCAAGAAAAATAGGTCTATGTGTCGACACATACGATCTATGCATCGACACATGTGGGTCAATATTAAATCTTGTGGCTTATGTTTCTATGTGTCAACACATACAAACTTTATGTGTCCACACATGTACTGTATTTTTAAAGCCCGCTTCTATGTGTCACACATGCAACCTTTATGTGTCGACACATAGATAACATGTGTCAACACATGTTCTGTATTTTTAAAATATGTAGCTTCTGTTTCTTTGTGTCAACACATGTTCTGTATTTTTAAAATATGTAGCTTTTGTTTCTTTGTGTCAACACATCACCTTGAACAGGTCGACGCATACCTATAAATACTTCATACATACATCATATTCA